CTGCTTGTCTCACTCTTGATTTTTATGGAAATGGGGTAAAGGTAGCAAAACAGAAGCTCTGACCTCAGAAATTATTGTGAAAAGAAGGTTGAAATAGTCGTGAATGGTTTTGTTAAGGTTGCTCCATGGCATATGATATCAGTGTTTAAAGTTCTTGAACTTCTCATAAGCTCTTTTTTGAAAATACCTTTAAAACATCTTACTTATTGCACTGAAAACATCTAGGTAACCAGAGAGAATGTTAGGAAGCTGGACTTTGGAAAAGCTTTTGGAAAACTTTGGAAAAATACATATTTAATTTAAAAGGATTTGGCTCCAGAGGTTCTACAGGTGTTTTTTAACAAATCAGCTGCAGTCTCTGAGAACTGTGTGTATTTGTCTGCCTGAAATGAGTGTTATATTTGTACATTTTTTGGGGGCAGAATATGCAAAATTGTTCCAGTACACTTCGCAATTTCAATTTAAACTGAAATTTCTTTCAGATGTAGAGATTTAAAGTTCCTTACCTGAAAGGCAACAGGCTTAACAAGTCAGATATTTGTGCATATATACTGTATTTCTCTCAAAAAAACTAAAACCAAAAAAGGTGTATAAAGAAGGACTATGAATAAGATGTCCCAATCTAATAAGGAGATTAATTTTTACTCTGATCTCCTCTAGTTTTTGTTGCTACATTAACTCACCAACAGTCCTAATAGTGAGTGTAAGGAAAGATACTGAAGAAATAGAGAGCAGAAATTCATAATAATCCCACTGAATAAATTCTGTATTTTAAATAGTTAATTCAGTCACAACAGTGTATACTGTTTGGGGTACAGAAGCTATGTAGTCTCTGTCATTTTTAGAAATACTTCTTGGGTAAAAAAATCCCTACTTCCCATTTTCTGTAAGAAAGTGTAAGTCAAGTTTTATAGCTAGCATCTATGTCACCCTTTTCTCCCTTCAGATAAATTATAAGTGATCCTTGGTTTTTGCTCTAGTAGAAACCTTCAGAAACAATAACTTTTAGTTATTTAAAGCAAAGATCAATACCTTACTTTTTGTAAAAGAGAATGAATGTCAACACTATGGTAATCTGTAGAATTTGGTTCACTTTGAGAATAGTCACTGACTCAGGTCACTTAACTGCTCTTTTTATTTTATTACTGGAAGCTTGGGTTTTGTAAGATACAGAAATCCAATAGTAAGAAAAATTTGGAGCATTACCTCTTTTGAAATGCAATGCATATTAGACTCTGGTTTAAGCAGTTATTCTCAGAAAAACATAGAATCACAGATCTATGAAGGCAGCTTTTTAGCATTCAGTGTTTAACAATATATCTGAATGGATGCTTGCCGTGTTTATGTGCAGAAAGCATTGCTCCCATGAGAGCAAATTTGGAAAATTACAGTGTATTTCTTTTTACTTACGACTGTTATTCCCTTACCAGAATTTAGTAATAATTACGACTGCAGGATACAACTCTGTAATGACAAATAGAAGAGAGAATAACATTTCTGAGAATAGCACACAGATCCGGCTTTGAATTTGAGAGAAATCGATTCTGAGGAAGACCTCTTTCTTTAATGTTGGAGTTGGTTCATTCTTCACTGACTGTCCTGACTCAGGCTTTGTTGCTTGTGTCTTTGCTAAGCAAATGTGAAATGCTACTGAGTCAGAATAATAAAGTGTTATGTTTCTTCTGCACAAATTTAAAAGACTAGAAAAGGCAGTGGAAAATTGGAACCTTTCATTATTTATCATACTGCATACTCCATGCCATGCCAGAACAATCAGTGGTTAATATAAGGGTCTCCTAGTTTGACAAAACCCTGCAGCAGAATTACTAAGCTAAAAACTCTCACCACTTAAACATTTATCTAGGGAGCTTTGAAAGCATCTGCTGTAAAGGGATTTGGACACCCAACTCCCATTGACATTAGAATTTACTTCAAATTTAGCTTAAAAAGAATTGCTTATTTTAATTACCAAGGCCACCTGCAAAATCTTCAGTGCCTATTAAAATAAATATTTCTGTCCCAACAAACTGTGGAAAAATCAAAGTGCTGCTTGAGATTTTTAAGAGTAAATAATTTGAAGGATTATAAATAAATATACTCTTTTTCAAAAAATCTATTACTACACATTTCCTAATATTTTGTCCTCCTTAGTATATCTTAAGACGAGGACAAAACAGCAGTAAATCATGGCTGAACTAATTAGCCCAAGATCAGGCACATTCATTTGCAGATCTAGAACCCAAGTTCGTTGATCCTCAGTCTTGTGATTGGTTTGCATGCAATATCCAAACTAATACAGATTTTTTTAAACTGAAGTCCCAAAAATTTACATAGAACACGAGCTTTCCAAAAGATGGGGTTTTGTTCTGACTTTTTTTTTTCAAAATTTGCTGAGGAAAAAGGCATATTACAACAGTTAGGTGCTGATTTTTTTTTAACTTCACCAAAGCTAAACTCTGCAGTGTAGCTTTACTATAGTAGGAAGAAACTACTTCAGTCATTGCTACTGAGAAAAGAATTTACTTTAATGCTTTTGAAAATAACCCTCCTAAATCTAAGCATTGGATTAAAGTGTTTGGAAAGAAATGCCTGCTGTTTTTTGTAGGGCTAACTCCCAGCACTACCTCCAGTAAATGTTAAGAAATGGCAACTATCACCTGTCATGATCAGTGGTATGAAAACATAAGAGAATATCCTGCATTCCCTCATCTGAGTAACACTTGTTAAACACATTCTCCTATTCAAACCACATACATTGAAGGGATGACCCAGCAGAGAGTTTAATTGCACAAATATAGGATCTTGTGCTCAGTTAAAAATAAAGTTATGTCAAAGAAAAGAACTTCTTCCACACACCTTCAAGTAAAGGAGTCTAAAATACATTATTTAGCAGTATTTGCTATCCTACTGATAAATTTTTTTTATATTTGCTAGTATATAAAATGTTTGATTTCATGTCAAACACTTTTTTGGATAAGTAACGATGCATTCTCTTGCTGACAGTTGTTAATAAAATGTCACCACTGACACTGTCTGGATCAAATCCTCTGGAAAGCTGCACTGTTATCTTCCCAGATCTGATTTCTTTCTATGATTGGTACTTGGATGCGAGGCTGAGCAGTGCCATCTCTGGAACAGTATGTCATAAAAGTAAATATGTCAGACAGGACTCCTCATCCTGCTACATGTTCTTTTCTATAGTGGGAGGGATTCTAAGCATTTTAATTACCATGGAAAAATTATGACTCAGTGGCCAAGTAATGAGCATTTCTGTTTTCTACTCTTCAATAAACAATCTTGTCAGAGAATCCAAGTCTGCAAGCACCATTTTAAAAAAAGCCATTAAAACATTAAACTTGATGCATCCAGATTAGATAATATATAAATAAATAAACACTTCAAGTTTTATGTTGATTTCCATTTTATCAATATAATATGAAACACAGCTCTGTTGAATCTTAAATGTTTCAAAATCTTTGGTTTATATCAGATTATTTTTAGGGGGCTGGTTAGCTCAGTCAGTTGAGCGTGGCGCTAACAACGCCAAGGTCGTTGGTTCGATTCCCGTTCAGTCCCCATGTGTTGCCTGATCTAGTCGACAGGTGGCATCCCGTGCGACAGGGAGGCTGGATTAAAATGATCTCTAAGGTCCCTTCCAGCCTAGGCCATTCTATGATTTTGTCTTTGGTATAAAACTCGCCATTTTCTAAGGGAAGAACTCAGTAACTAAAGAAGTAACTGAGAAGGTCAGAGATGTTCTTTCAGTTGCAGAATTAAGAGCACTGAGCAGCAGCTGTGACCTGGTGACTGTGCTGCAGCTGGCCTCTTTGGCCCCTGCCATAATCTGAGATGCTTTTGAGGGTCAACGCGGCTATTCAGACCAGTTCTCTCAGTCCCATTCATTTCCCAGAAGGCCCATGCTGCTCCACTCCTGGCTGTTGCACAAATAACCAAGACATCTTCTGCACAGAGAGTGCAAGTACTTAGTGTGTTGGAACAATATAGATTACATTGCAAGAGAAGACTGACCAAACTTTTCCAAGGAAAATAAATAATCTTTTTTTCTAAGAGAGGCTGAAAATTTCACTTTTAGTATATGTAAATAAAATTGCAATGAGCTACTTTGAAGACCTAGATACTTAAGACCTAGATATGATCTCTCTGAAACTGAATAATGAAAGGTGTTGACCTCATTCCTCCAGATTAAGGTCCAAGTGTTCAGTAACTGTACGTACAAACGGATCAATGGAGAAACACTCATTTGTTGTGTAAATCACTTTTCCTTGATGCCCAGTTTAGTGCTGTTTAGCTAAGGCTGGATATGCGTTTTGAATCTCTGCCAAGTTGCTTTACAGCTCACACCATACTGACGTTTTCTGAGTTAATGTTGGCACAGAACAGTATTTTCCATATGTTTTTCATGCAGTCCATCCTACATATCTGTATGTTGACAGGAGAAGACAGAAATGTTTATTGACTGTCTCATGCAGAGAAAAATGAGCATCATTTTTGCAGAATGGCCTTGAACTGAAGAAGTGCCATGGATCGTTAATTCCTGGTTAAGTATTTGGCTAGAAATTGCAGATCTGAGTCATATCATAGAAGCACTGACCAATGTTTCTCCTTTGTAAAACAGGGTCCTAAATCCATTGGCTTCATTAATGTGCAAAACCACATAACACCTAGCTTTTCCCACAGAAATCACGTGGAGATCCTGAATGTCCAAATGACCTGACAGTATTTTCCTACATGACAGACTGAGTTAAAAGGCTGGTGACCTAATTTAGACTCCTCTTCCTCTAAGCCTGAGCAAGTAGTTTGGCATCTAATTGCAGATGTTCTAGCAGGACATGAGAAATATGACAGGTAAATCTATATTTAAGAAACTAACGTTGTTGTCTTGCTCTCACCAGAGCCTTTAGTGGAATTCACAAGACCTGGGTTATTTGTAAGCTCTGTTTGATGCTGGATCTCTTCTGTGCTGCTCGGGTTTGCTTTAATTGCAGGAACTGCTCAAGCACTGTGCTATTAGACTGCTATAGAGTGGATTCTTCCTCCAGCCGAGCTGTTTTGAAATACTGAGTTATTCTCAGTGTCCAGTATTGCATTATTGAATCTCAGAGTGTGCTAGCTCTCTCTTGAGTGGAATGCGAGAGTGAGTATTTCCTGGATTTTTATTTTTATTTTGAGCAGGAGGAGGCTGGATTTTTTTCAATTAGAGGACAATCTCTGCATGATTTACAAACTAAATATGGGATTTTGCAAAAAAATGACAGTTGTTTTTAATTAAAAAAAAGCTATTAAAAACTGTTCTGAAACACACAAACTCAAATAACTGACTTATATGGCATTTAGTTTTTGAATTTCTGCTTGTCATCAGATTTAAACCAGAGTTGCTTTCTATTTTATTGTATTTAGATAACAAACAGCTATTTGGAAACAGTATGAGAAATTGGCTCTTTGAGAAGCAATGAAGCGAAACTGTTTAAGCTTTCAAACCTTGATGAAGTTTTCAGGCTACTGGTGTTAGTGCATTGTGACTGTCATTTTTCTCCATAGCAATTAACATAGGTTCATGAATATACTGAATAAATCAGTAAGTAATGATGTGTTGTCTCTTTCTACTACAATTGTAGTCATCATCTTTCTTCTGTTTCATCGTACCTATGCTGTGACTGTAATAAGTTCTGTACTATCAATGAAGTCTGTGACAGAAGCAAGAATAGAACTGAATAATTCATTGCCTTGACCACAAGGCCAAGTGTTTTATTTTTTTGTGTACTTCCACATCTCAGTCATTTTACAGTTTCTGGCATAGCAGCGAGTAGTAAAGCTTTACAGTCACCTTTGATTCAGACTCTGATATCTATCCCCACAAGGGTCTGAAGGAGGCTACACAGTGATTCGTTTTCACGTGGATGAGACCTCACAATGTCACGTCCCACATGTCTGAAGCATTCAAGAGAGATGGGGAAGGAGGAGCAGAGACCTGAATCTAGGTTTTCCATCTCCTGTATAAATATTCTTGTTATCATATCTGACACGTTACAGAGATGAGTTCTTTTTCAGTTCCTTTCAAAGGAAACTCTGAAAGAAACAATTTAATTTCTCTCAGAAAATGACATCTTGAACAGTTTTGCATGAGATGAAAATGGTTTTCTATGTCACTATAGAACTAGAGTATGCCATTAGTCCTTCTCCTATCCAGAGCTAAAATGAGACTATTCCAGAAGCAGACAGAAGCAGAGAAATATATTTCTCCCTCTAGGTTAGGTATTTATTGTACAAGTTTGCCAGGTGCTGAAATCTATCACTATAGAAAACGTGCACATAATTTTAAGTGTGACCCTCAAGGCAGACAGTAGGAATTTTGGATTGTTTGGAAATGCTATCTTGAGTACTGATGATTTTTCAGACTGGAAGAGTTTAACTTCATGCTTTAGGAAAGCAAGCTGTACAGAGAGCCATTTCAGGGGAGGGCTATGCCTATTTTTAGTAAAATTCCAAAAAAGGGAAAAAACAAGAAAGACGGAGGCTGCTGAACATAACTGCTCTCACAAATTCACCATCAGGGCAAAGAACGGCACAGCTGAATGTCCCACAGCTATCAGCCTGCATGGGATCTTTCCCTTTTTTAGGTTATGTCCCCCACACAGACACAAGCTCTCTAAGAGGCAAACCTGCCTATAAAGTTATGTAAATACCAGCCTTGTAATGTTTACATTTTAAGTTGTTTCCAGAAGGCAGATTCATTTAAGGAGGGAATATTATGTCTTTTTATTTCTAGGCTGATTTTCAGCTTCAGCCTGTTTCAATGTAAATATCAAAAGAGAGACAAACTGTATTTTTTTTTTAGAAAGCAGCAGAGGCAGACTTGAACTAACATTTTGAAGAGGCTCAAATATTTTAATGAAAACAATCATTTGCCTCATCAGCTCTGGGTAATCTTATTAGATTTTTTTCACTAGCTGTCTCCAGCAGCTTTTGAAAAACAAGGTTGCATTTCAAAAAAATGCATGAGAGTAGCTGTTATTCTTAAGAAAGATCTAGGAACAGCGGAGTGTATGCTATTAGCCAAAGAAGTCAGCTTCACAGACCAAGAGACACATCTTTGTACTCATCCCCTTCCCCTGCCTTTCATTTCTGCTCAGGGTTGTTTGTTTCTGCGAAACAGGATATTCAGCCAGACCTTTCTGCAGCCCTTTGCAATCTGCAAGGGTTTGATGAAGTCCAGTGACGATCTGTACACCCTTAGCTAAGTGAATGTAATGTTCTGCTGGGTGAAAACTAAAAGTCAAACAAAAAATTTTGTATTTGCGTATAAAAAGCGGTACCCTAGCTGAATGAATGAAGTGATGGGTTCATGTTCTTTGCTTTGCTGCTGTGGAAGTCCTCACTGAGGTGAGAGCCTTTTAAACTCTCTTAAGCACAGCTCATAGTTATTCCAGGGCTACATGGGACGCCATACATTTATTCCATATACGGGGTAAATGTAATACCTGGTGGTTCATTATACATCCTAGCCTATATAGAAACATTGTTCTTTAACAGTGATGAATTGAATGTCGCTGACTATAACTGTGAATGAACAAATGATATTATCGGGGTCCCTTTCATGATGAACTGGGAGTGGCTGATAACAGGCAGAGAAAAGAGAGTGGTATCAGAGTATATAGATATCCATTCTGTTCATGTATTGTGCAAAGGCAGAGAATGACATTGGTGGCCTGGAGGAAAAAATATATCTTGAGATATTAAGAGTCAGAGTGAAACATGAACATTTGGAGGGTGTGATGACTCCACCAGCACCTTGCTGGTTAACTAAGGTACTGCAACATATATTCGATGTTGGCCAAGAGGTGATAGCTGAGTGGAAATCATGCTGGATTAAGGAATTTGCTTTTCCTCCTATTTGTCTGCAGTGACATTTCTGAAAAATAGCAATAGTATCTGCAACCCAAAATGACACTTAGCAAACGGTGCTTTTTCCTCTTCGTTGGTGCTCTTTGACCATATCAGGCTTAATGGAGTGTAGAAGTTAGTAAATTCATGTCATTGCTTTAGCTTGTATTAAAAGCCATTATAGCTCTGAGGAGATACTCAACAGCTATTTCAGTCTCAGTTTAGAGAATAGCAAAGAATCTGATGTCAAATACAGCACGCACACACAGAGAAAAGTTTACATGTCTTTAAATCATATAAGTGAGTTAGTTTGCATGGGCTTATGCATCTAATGGGTAATGGATTATTTCCACTAATAGGGATGTTTAACAGCAGACAGTAGGCCAGACTTTATAGCCCTTCCAGCTGGCACCCGATCATATAAGTAGATTCACCCACATAACTGTGGCTATTACACTGAAAATAAGAGTTTCAGCTCAGGGTGTGACCATACAGTGACAAAGAGGAAAGCTCCTCTGAAAGCGCAACTTCTTGCTTTTGCTCCTACCGCTGGAGCAGGAAAGAGGAGCTACAAACATATTTGCTGTCAGTTACTACAGCAGCCAGGATTGGTGGCCTGAAAAGTAATGGATCCCTCTAATGAGGAGCAGTGCCCTTTGAAGGCCTTCATTTAAACAGGGTCAGGCCCTCGTGGAAGATGTGACAAAGCTCATGCTTTGGTGGTCCAGTTATACTAGGATAAACACCTCATAAGTACTAACCTGAACCTTCAACTAGATCTGTTGAGCTGACAGTCATTGAAGAAAGGCTTCCTTGAGAAAATTCCAACTATTCTTTTGTACCTTAGTCATAAGTACTGCAATATCCTACTTCTCCATTATTGTGTTTCTGGTTCCTACAAAATCAGTGAAGACCAAGCATATAAAAGCTAAGCACACTTTGAGAGAAAATTACTCTGAAATGAAAAGTTTGTAAAAGAGAAGGTGGCAAACCTTATTTCATATTCAGTGCATAGCGAACTGTTCTCCAGAATGAACTGAATAAGCACTGGTGTTGACAGATAAACATTATATATTTATTAAAGCATTTGGTCCTTTAACAACCTGTAGCACATCAGGTACTATCTCAAACGACTCTGAAACTTAAAATCAATCTTCACGTCTGTCTGTTGGTTAAGATCTAACATTAGACTCCCGTGGTGGGTTCACAACTCATGGCTCCTTATTCACGGAGCATCAGATGATATGTTCCCTGGGTATCAAGCACAGTTTGTAGTTTGCTGTAGCAAATGGAGTTAAAATAAAAGGCTCTTTTTATTGGTTTGGTGGATCTGGGGGCCTTTTTTTGCTGCTCAGTGTCTACTTTGAAGTAACTTAAGTAAATGAACCCAAAAATTCAAACCTTTTAAGATTGTTGTGGCTATCGTTATGCGTATTCTGCCAGATATCCAAAAGCACTTAGCAGAAACTGCTTCCGTTGGGGACAATAACATCTTAAAAGCCAGACTACTTCAGTCGAGCTGCCTACTTGAGCATCAGAAAATACGAAATTTCCTTTCACAGCAGAGGCCACCCTCTGACAAGAATGCTTAGGGTGGCAGATAAAATGAGAGTGCTCTAAAAGGAATGAGCCCCTCCACTTCTGGAATTCAATTATTTGAAGGCATCCAGACTGTTATATTTAATGGCTACCACTAGACCTAACTCCTATGTATTTGTCCTTTTGAACCTGTTTCTGTTTTTGTCTACTTCTTTTGTTTCTTTTATGCCTGCTGCCTGGTAATTTAATTGGGTGACCCTCTAGTTTTGTTTGTGGAAAATAGTTAACAGTCATTTTCTACCTGCCTGTCTTCTCTATTGTCTTTCTACTTACTATTCACAGTTTGTAAAACATTGTCTTCCCAAAATGTATGCACTCAGATTTTAAATTCTAGGCCATATTTTTGATGCCATGACCCTTTCGTTCATGAAAACATCAAATAGTTGTGCCTGCCTGGGGAAGAGGATGAGGCGGAGGAGTGATACTAGTATTTACTGCCTGTATATATTGCTGTTTCTTTGCTAGCTTGCAAGTGGTATAAGAAGCAGTATGTGGTGTTAACTATGCTATTTTTAACTGAACTAATTCAGAATGGATTATACTGGAAATCTGAGCAGAAATTCAGTATGAGATGGATCTCAGGCTGGTGTTTTCATCCCGGTTAAACTGCTGTAAGGAACCGAGTGTGGCAGATTATGGGAGATGTATAGCAAATTTCTTTGATTCTTTTCAAAGTTCCAGTTTCAGCTGTGAATATTCTGAGGATCATTTGGCATAGTGAAAGTGCTTTTTGAAAGTATTTTTATACCTATCAAAACTCACCTATGAATTAACTTTTTTTTTTTTTTTAAACTAGGTGAAGCTACAGTGAAGAAGAAACCAGCTCCAAAGACTCCTCCAAAAGCAGGTAATTTATTGTGTGTTGTCATCCTGTAGGGGAAAATAATAAACCAATACAGTTTTAAAGAACAGACACCACATTTCTAAGTACAGTTCTTTGCCTGCTCAATTTGTTTGCGTATGTGATTAAACAGTGGATAAGCAAAGTTCCTTTTTCAAACTTGTTTGCATGGTTACACTGCACTAAGACCTAAATAATGAGCATGCAAAAAAGTTACTATTGAATAAACCATATCAATATCTTATCAAATGTCAGTAGTAGTGCTGTAACTCATGCCCTTTTCTATATCCACAACACACTGTAGCCTTCTGTGGAAGAGATTTTTCTATATATCGCAGAATGCTACCTCTGCATGAGTAACTGCCACAGAGAAGTTGGTAGATTCTACTTTCCCTCATGACTGGCGTTATGGTAACCTATTCATGTGCTTGCACTCTCCTAGGCAAAGCTATCTGTGTATGAAGTTAGCCAGAATGTTCCTCTCCAGGAACCTGCTTTCAGTTTCTTGAAACTTTGTCAGACTTAAACTGTTCAAGCTGTTTTCTATGCCAGATATGTGTCTCAGCCTGGTTTCCTTCAGATATTTTCAAAACAAAAACGCTTTTCAAAGATCAAGTCGGGACGGGGGGCAGACGCATGACTGCTTTGTTTTAATTAAATTGAAAGCATTTTTTTTTCATGCCCAGTAGCCCTGTGCTTTGGAAAGGAACGTTACATTTGGCAGTGAGGCCATTCTAATGTTAGGGAATGTCTTTTCCCATTTCTGTCCTCAAATCTGCCCCCTTCCCTCTCAGCACTCCCAATATTTTTTGCTGTGCCGCTCTTTTAAAACAACACAACAAGTTTCACCCTGGAGTTGTCTGGGCTGTGATAGTTCTGGCATCTGTCCCTAGCAGCTACCAGGGGTCTGGCACATTCAACATCACAACCAAGTCAAGAAGTAGCACTGTTCACTGAAGAGATGTTCTGCCGTCTATTGATACTCAGGCAGTGATGGGGAAGAGGAGGAGAAATACCTGATTCAGAAATGGATGAGTATGAATGAGGCTAAAAAATTTAAAAGAAGCACTGTAATACACAAACAAAAGGATCTGTCATTGTTCATGGGAAAATGGAGTGTGATGGTGAAAGACATTGATTTCCTTCCTTGTATCTCTAATAGATGTCCCACATGTTGTTTACTTGGCTACTGAAGCCAGAGTCTTCATAGGCAGGTGATGAGTCTTAAATTTTCAGAATGCTGTTGATGGCAGTAGGGAGCAGGTTTGCAGACTCCCTCAGCACATGCAAATTGGTATGAAGCTAACTGGAGCTGTTCTTCAAAGATACAAAATGCAAAAGAATAAAGACGTTTTTCTGAAAAACTGAACATAAAATTTCATAAGCTGTAGGTTTGGAATTGGTGGTAGATCTTAACAAGTTTGGCCTTTGGATTTCTGTACCATGGTCTTGAGGAGAAAACTTCTAATGGGTAAATCGTTATTGCTTCACTAAAGTAAAATTAACAATGTCCACAGAAGTGTTTCATTGCAAGCAACAGATAACTGCTGATCTGGATTTCAAATGCCTCTCTGGAACTGTTGAGCTGAGAGATGTATGTGTTTTGCATTTTAAGAAGAACAGAAAGAATAGCCACCTAAAGAGAGATTTTTTTTTTTTTCATCAGCTACTCCTCCTCAGATTACTCAGTTCCCAGAAGACAGAAAAGTCCGTGCGGGTGAATCAGTGGAATTGTTTGCCAAGGTTGTAGGAACAGCACCTATAACTTGCACCTGGATGAAATTCCGTAAGCAGGTAAATTATTTTCTGCTCTGCTTTAACAATCATTGGAAAAAGTAGAGCTGAAAAGAAACACCAGTGACCCATCTTTTCCATCTGCCTTCTGCAGGAACTGGCAAAGTCCATTTCATTCCCGCTAGATGTTCTCCTCACATCTGCTGAAAACATTCCAATGATAAAGATTTCACAATCTCCGTTAATAACCTGTTGCAGTGCTTAAATATTCACAGTGTTAGATTTTTTTCCCTAATGCCAAACCCAAATCTTTCTTGCTACAGTGTAAACCCATTGCTGCCTGTCCTCTCCTACAACAAATGTTCCTTTGAGAAAAGCCTCAGATCATGTAATTAAAGGATAGGTGATGTCAAAGATATAGGTATCTGAAAAGTATCTGCCCCAGGAAACAATCCTCTCCTTCAGAAATAATCTCTTCTTTGTTGATGCTTGGTCTAAAGTTATGACAGAGGGGTAAAATGCCATATAAGAAGCTTGAGCGAAACATCTTACAACACAAATGTTGCCATGCAATGGACAACAGCAATTATGCTGCCATCAGTGCCCTCACCCCCTGGGTTTAATTTGTTTATTAATTAATTTCCTTGGGCTATATTACATGTGTCCATAAGGACAGTTTCTAAAGAGAGTTGCTTTAGTGAATAATAAAACGACTTTAAAACAAATAACCTAGTATACAAACTGGAAGTTGAAGCACCATGTTAAGATAGAGCAAATATAAATATGTGGTGTAGCTGCTATTCTGTCTATTTCATTCTGAACTCATTATGCACTCTTTAGAACAGAAATAAAAACATGTCCTCCAACGAGGAAGTTTAGACTCTAAATCCAGATGTGTCAGCATTTAATTGAAAGAATTCAAAACAGTTTGCTAGTGAAAATGGTATTCCAGAGTCCATCTTTGCTAAATAAGCTCTTACTTCAAGGGAAAGGGTGATTTTTTTTTCCTCAAAATTCTTTAGTTTCAAGACTGGTGTTAAGAAGTGGCCTACTCATTTCTACAAAAGTAGATCTCAGAAGATCAAGTGACTTTCAGTGTCCTGTTTTGCTGAGCTCTGTCTTAACACATGGGTAAAATGAACCCCTCAGAAGTGAGTTTCTGGTTTGTGCCAAATTCTGAGTTCATTTTTGAATACGACAATCCTATTTCCATAGCATTCAAGGCCATTTTTAATGAAAATCTTTGTGGCAGTAGAGACCAGCAGCTCACAATACCCATATCAAATCCATAATCTGTGATTCTACACCTTTTTTACCTTTGTAAAGTGTTATTTTTAGCGTCTTTAGATTTTCTTCTTTAGTAATTCATTATGAGGCAATCTAAAGGTTTGCAAAATCATGCATTAAAATGACATATACATTTTTAAATGGTTCATTATGGCAGGTAAATGAGATAGAAAAGAAGAAAACTTCAGGAAGGTTAGTAAACACTGTAGGAGGACAAGTGAGGGCAGCAGTCTTTCACTTATTAAATTAAATGGGGCACCAGTTACTATGTACTGTGCTGTACCATTATTTTGCTTTCTGTTTTGCTTACATATGTCCACATATTGTTTCTTCTTGTATTTTTTCCTTTTTTTATAAATGTGGTTGATTTCAACTCTGTTCCATTCCCAGTCCTGAAACTGAAAATCACCCAGGTGTTCTTACAATTTTCCTGGGAGTTATTTGTAGTAGTTATTAGAGCAGATCCAGTAAGTGGTGAGTTGTGATTTCATCCCTGTCACCGTATGCTGCAGAGTGCAGGAGGGACCTATCCCCTCCATGTTCCTTCCTCACATTCCCTCAAATTCAAGAGAGACACAGTGATATATTCTGGACAAATATCTTTGTGGGAGCAAATGCTGGACGTTCGCTGTTTGGAAGCTAGGCTCCGAAATTAGGGAGTTTGGCTCAGTCTAGATTTTGATACATTCAGTGAAGGATAGTTTGGGTGAGATAGCTCAGATCCTTAATGTTAGTGATTCTGTGAAAGGGCAGTCTACGGAAGTTGCAGGGCAGCACCAGCATTCCTTCCTGGCACCTTCACCAAGCCACTGAGCATCTTTCAGGGCTTTCTCTGCATAGCGCAGATCTAATTCTGCTGGACTGATTTTTTTAATACTATTACGCTTTGATTAATTCTAATCAAGCACAACATATAAGCCAGTGCAGAATATCAGAACAACAAAGTACGGGGGCAGAGGGAAACAACTTTCAGGGAAATTAAAACTCTAATGCTACATAATCCCATTTGCTAACTTTCTATTTGAGTTACTGCATGAGCATCTTTCTCGGGTTACTTTTGGACATACAGCAGTGCATTTGTTCTATCTCAGTGTAGGAGAAAGCAGGGAAAGTCCTGCTCTTAGCCTTGTAATCTCTTGCTCTCTGAATATATGAGACAAGATAAGGCAAACTAAATAGCCTTCATTTTTAACGACATTCTGAAAATGACTTGGAAGAGTCACTTATCTAAGAAGGAAGTGGTGGGAGGAAGAAGGGCATTGACATTGTCTGTTTCGTAAGAACACGGCGTACAGCTTCTATAATTGCAGTGCAGCATTATGAGGTTTTCAAATAATCTGTCATGTCTCAAACTAATACTGATTAAAATCTAAGTCTCCTTGGCCATTTATGCTATGATAGCTTTGTTTCAATTAAAACCTAGTTCATAATATGCCTGTGGTATTCAGCACAGATTTTGATTTTTGCCTCTCCAGGAAATAAAAATGCTATAGGAAAACTAAATCTGCTCCTTGTGTGTCTCTCTACACAGCTGTAGCATTGCATCTCCATTTCAGGCACTATCATCTTCAATTGTTCAAACCCAAGAAATTGTTACCCTGATTTATGTGGAACTACAGAATCAGGCTGGTTAAGACAAGAGGGTGAAAGTTATTGTCACATTGGGCCTCTAAAAGGGAATGGCAAATGAATTAGGGTATTTAGAGCTAAAACCTTTTCCCACTGTGGTCTCCATAAGATATGTGAGACCAAACTTTGTTCTTCTACCAGTTACACAGCTTGCACTTTCAGCTTGTCACTCTCAGAGGAGTTAGAAAGTGAAACTCCTGTTCCTTAGTGGAGTCCCAGCAACACCAATGCTCCCTGTTGCCATTGAAGGACTGGAGCCATTATAATGTTCCACTCCATTTCTAGGTGTTTTGTGTTGGTTACATGGTTTATTAGCTGCACATATTCACCACTGTAACAGAGTTACATGTAGATAGCACTCAATATGATAACCTTGTATTGTAATTTGAGCTCTTTCAGATACGAAATGTATCTCTTTTTTTTTTTAATTTGACAGATTCAGGAAAATGAATATATTAAAATTGAGAATGCTGAAAACAGCAGCAAACTAACAATATCATCAACAAAGCAAGAACACTGTGGATGTTACACCCTAGTCGTAGAGAACAAACTTGGCAGCAGACAAGCACAAGTCAACCTTACAGTTGTTGGTAAGTCCATAATAAAGTTCAGGTATATACTCATTCTTCAGATATCACTCTATGTTTGCTTTATATATGATGACATGCAAAAAATTCAATAAAATAATCAGATAAGAAGACTGAACTGAAAAACTAGTACTTTAGAAAATATCTGGACTGAATAATGACATTGTAATAAGGATTATAAGCAAGTTCAGTAGGGCCATATTGTTTTATTTTGAAAAATTACTAATTGCAGATGAAGGTGTTACAAGATAGCTCAGCTTAAAAAAAAAAAAAAGAGCTTGTTTCATTTTTTTTATTAGATACCACTTCTTTTTCCCATTTAATGTTTGTAGCATCCAGATGTTTGCTAGACTGAAATTTTTAAAACTTAGTTCAGGAAGGATTGAGGTGGTTTCTGTAAGACCATCCTGTTGCTTAGAGGAGGGAGAATTTACCCTTTTAACTGAAACTCCTACAGTTGTCTATTGTTTTACAGTGACAGAAAGCAGTGATTAAAGGCACTCTGTTTTGAATACAGAGCCCTTCTCGAATACGGGCTTTTACACACATGTATTTTAAAGCTTCAAACAGACTTGCCAGATGACACGTTCAGGCCATCACGTTTGTTGTGGACAGTTAGTTGTAGACTGGTAGACAGTTGCATTATATGTGCAGATAAAACTGCAGCCCAGATCTAGACCAGCTAGCTGGAGTATCAGTCAAAATCTAGAGCTGTGGCATCTAGTCTGAAAGGGCTCATGGACCCTCCTTGGTGTGGATACACAGCGCATGGTTTCCAGGGAAATCTAGGGAAGTTCTACAAGCAAAAAGGGTGAAATATTAGTCTGCAGGATGGGTGTGTTCTTGGCTCTGTTATCAATGACCTGCAGAGGGCTTTTGACACAAGATGGGGGAGGGCAAAGCTTGCCTGGGCATTTGGGCAATCTCTAGTTCAACTAGCAAGGCTGCATCCTCATCCCACTCATAACTTCATTGGCTCTGCTGTCCTGACAGCTATGTGGGCTAGTGAGCAAGTAAAGGAATGCGGGTATAAGGCCAAAGATAAAAATCTGGCTCCAATGAAATCAATGGCAAAATACTATTAACCCTGGAAATTTCGTTTTGGCAATCCAGTGAATAACGTGCAAAGCTTAATGAGTAGAATCACACCTTCAAGAACAATGCTCATTGCTAAAGAGTGAATGTCCCTCAGTAGCATACTGCTGTATATATTGTCAATAGAGGCCTCTTGATTATTTAAATTAATTTCTTGCATCTAATCTGTGGCTTTCATTGCAATTAAAAGATGAATGAATGAGCGTAAATACAAAGTAGATTCAAGTAACGTGCCAGAGAATTCAAGAATAGAAGAAAATAGAATAAATGTTTTTCACATGATGCGTAAATAAATTGTACTACCCCTTCCAGCAGTGGGTTGTGCAGGTCAGAAATACAGCTAGGTTAAAAATTAACACCATGAAAAATCCGTCCTTGTATAATCATTATATAGAATCATAGAACCATAGAATGTGTTGGGCTGGAAGGGGTCTTTAAAAGTCATCTAGTTCAACCCCCTGCAGTGAGCGGGGACACCTTTCCCTAGATCAGGTTGCTCAGAGCCCCATCAAGCCCGACCTTGAATGTCTCCAGGGAAGGAGCCTCCACCACCTCTCTGGGCAACCTGTGCCAGTATTTCACTACCCTCTGTTCCGGGTGAAACTTTTAGCTCCAAAGCCCTAGCACAGCTGATTAGCAGCTAGAAGAATGGCAGGAGATTAATCACTTTTCATATTTACTTTTTTTTAAAAACTTTCCTAGGCAACTGCTGCAGGCTGCTAGCTGTAGCAGGTTATTGGGCAAGACAGATTTTTTTGTCGCTGAACTAGGCCAGCAATTCCTATTATCTTTTCACTGTGTGAGCCTTGACTCATTATTATATAAGTCACTGTTTTATATATTTTGGAGTTAATTGGTTTGAAGGTCTTTGAATTCTATAACCTTATAAAGCTACATCTTAGCTTTCTGCTTTGCTCTTCCATGAAAAATGTGCCAGAGAACAGTGGGATTTCCAAAGATGCTTTTGGGAGAGTTGGATGAAGAATCCTTACAATGTGGTGGAGTGTGCCATGTGTTTTGGCTGATGACAACCTATCTGTTTCCAACTGAAAAGAATAAATTCCCTCTTGTAAAATTGCCAAGCTCTTCAGTGAGACATCTCGCTGATGTCAGCATTGCCAAAGGCATGACAAAGCCTCAAGATTCCTAGTTTGCTACACATGCATTTTAAGGCCAGACTCTTCCATCTGAGTACTCAAAAATGTGGGAAAAGGGAGCAAAAATTTCTTCCCTCTAGAGAGTGGGTTAGAATCTCACTACTGAGATAAAATCTTTCACCCTGTTTGCACCCTTAAAGGTGTTAAATGGTCATGAAAGCTGGAAGGTACTTTCCTCCAAAGCCTACTCCAGTCAAACTAGGGAAGCTAGGGTTCTCTGAATACACAAAATGTGAGACTTCTTAGGCTACCAAATCTCATCCTTAGTCCTAAATTCTTATCTGTCTATTCTCTCTGCTCCGTCCAAAGCACTGGGAAGAAATGTGTCCTCCTTGCCCTGATCCCACATTCACAACAAGCATTTGTGGAGAAAGCCCTGCTGCCATAGATCAGCTCTGTTTTCCTCAGCTATTTATAATAAGGCTCTAAATTCTGTGTGAGCTGCCTCCCTCTAATAAAAGGCACCTCAACGTGTATGCTGTGTGCTCAAAACACTGCTGACTGACTGCAGCCCACAGCTGAATCTTGAACGTATTGAGGGAAACTACACATACCGAGCATCTGCTTTCTGTAGGAGTGTCTGAGCTGGCCTAGAGCTATTTCTCAAAGGGCTAGCTAACAGGCTTGTCTATTCTGAATTTTAGCAAATCAAAGACATTTGTTAAAATATAAAATTAAAAAAGATATGGAAATACAGAAGTATTTCTTCTATTGTTACTTCTTTCTACCATGTAGCTTGCAATGTCTACATGCTAAAGGGCAAGCTTCTAACGTGAAAGTCTCCAATAAGCATTTTCAAATTAAATTTGGAATGTAGCAGGTTGCCTGGAAAAGTGATGCAGTCTCCATCCTTGAAGATGTTCAGGTTCAGACTGGATAAGCATCTGAACAATCTGGTTGGACCTTCTAGCTGGTCCTGCTTCAAGAAGAAGGTCTAGAGACCTTCCTGAGGATATTTAAGACCATCCTGGATCTTGGTTTTATATTTTTGGTTGTCAAGCCTTACTTCACAAAAAAAATACATTATTGACTTAGAGGACAAGGGACTGAACTTATCTGACAGAATTCAAAACAGAAGTGATCCTGCTGTGATTTAAACCCTAGGAGCTGGTTATGATTTTTAGAAATTGTTTTTAATAATGACTTTTAGAGGAAAAAAAAGAAACCCTGCGTTCCTTTGAATGTGGCTCCTAAAGTCTTCAATTTAGCTGCTCATGCTGTCAGACTCAGACTTCCAACTGCATGTTTAACTGAACTCATCAGGGGTTCTGACACTTGAAGAGTTTGAATAGCGTGTGATTTGATGCAGTTTGGGAAAAGATGCTCTTGAAAGAAACCCAACTTGTTATTGTAATGATTATCAATTAACAAAATGTCCATTACACTCAGCCTCCACTGTGAGCTGTTTGCAGTCCACACACCAGATGCACTGATACACAGTCAGGTTAGCAGAGACTTGTTAATTGATAGGCAGTGCAGTGTGGTCATGGGGACACATCACGGAGCCACAGAGACTGAGTCTTGAGTTTCACATTTATTCCTTATGTCACTTTGTATAAGTACTAATGATACCAGGAGACCTGCAGTATAAGTGCAACATTCAAGTTAAGCAATGTCTTCTTTTAAAGGGTTGGCTAGTCCCAAAATGTCCACGTAGAGCTCTTTTCTTTTGATATGATTAGCTCTCTTAAATAAGCAATTTCACTAGCTGAGTGATCTCTCTAGGGAGATTTTGCAACGTTTCTGCTCCAAAACCAAAATGGCCTGATGTGAGACTGAGTTAATGATTTACAGCAGGCACTGTGTCAGATTAAAGTGAACTTCTGTTGCCAAAGCTATATTAAATGAGCCAGTAACGAGCTTAGTGTAAAATAGAACTGAATTAGGCAAGGTAGAGCCCTCACGCTACAGTGATAGCAAGGAATATTAATTCCTTTCATGTCATTTATTGGATGTATATAGGTAAGTTTATCAAATTTATGGTTCTGAACATTTTATATATGTGACAGAAATACACCAATCTGTATTCACTTTTTAGAAAGGAACTTGGTCTTCATATTGGCTAAAGCTGGGTTCTACAACAAAAAGATGAAAGAATAACGGGTATTCAACAAGGAGAAATTAGTACCAGAGAAGTAGTCTGTTCTCCAACTATGCCACAAGCTTCTTTCATGATTTTGGGCATATTGCTTCATATTTCCATGCCGAATCTACAGGGGGTTTCTGATGATCAGTGCTTGGTGAATACTTTGGATATTAGTGGTATCTTTTACTTTTTTTTTAGTACAAAAGTAAAACCAGGTGTAATACCTACTTGAAGGCTGATTTTGATTTTGATCAACCATTTTTTGTTACTTCTAGATCCATTAGATTGGTATCGTATTTACATATCTATATTATGGCTATTAGTGAGTTAAATGGTAAATATATGCAGGAGAATAAGAGAAATATCATTATACCCAGAGGGGCCTCTAGATGATTGTTATGGTGGTTTTATTACTCTACACATTTGTGCACATAGTGTGTACTGCATCCTTGTGCACTGTTGGAAAGTGACAAACCAGGTCCTAAGGACACAGATATAAGCATGTTGCACACGGGCATGCAAGTACCGTAACATGAATTCACTATGTAATACCTGCTCCTCTGCGTGAGGTTATGATTCCGTACTTGAGTTGGGATGGAAAAGTTACTTTCTGTGAGGAAACTGTTACTTCTACTCCTTTAGCAGAATCTGTATGAGCAGCATCT